CATCTGCGGCAGCTTTGGTGCGATTGTGGAACCTGTCGAAAGAACAAATCGGGCTGTTAACTATTTGTGTGTGATGGAGGTTGATTGAATATATAAAGTATAAAGTGAATACTATATGTTATAAGAAGCTGTTCTTATTTTTAAAAAAAACTCAACTTTAAAGATACAAATTCGATTTGATTTGGGATATTGATTTATATAAATAGATCTAGTCCGTGCTGCGCGTCGTATACGTAATATTTAAGTCCCACTTCCTCATTTAACTTCACTCTCAACCATTTCTTATTGACTATAGACTTACCAGGTAACGCCTAGGGCTAGAAGGCCCACAGTTACAGCCGCACTGACGCCCGCTATGAGTGCCACAATATAGACGCCCATTTCGCTGTTCATGCCCAGATGCTGGCGCAGCACAATCTGATCGTCGCCGGTGCTGGCCGCGTATGCCATTTGGGAGGATTTGCTTTGCTTCTGCAGCTTATCGATCAGCGCATTTATCTCGTTGGGCATCTCCTTGGAGAGGGGCAAGTTGACGCCGGCCACAGCTGCAGCGGCCGCCGATTGGGGCTTGATGCGATGGAAGTTGGCGGTGGCCGTGTCCAGCAGCTTGGGCGGCTCCACGGGCTTCGGTGCCGGCACCGAAGCTGTGACCAGCTTGCTTTTGGATGTAGCCAACTCGGTGTCGGATGGTTCCGGTGCCGGTGCATACTCCTCGTAATCTTCCAGAGCACGTGAGTCTAGCTCACCCGACGGATCGTTGGCGTTGTCAAAGAAGCGCTCATCGTTGGGGCCCACGGCGAAGGGTATGCGTTGGCGTGTGTAGCCCGGGTTATTGCGACTGTAGCCGCCGTTCGCCTCCAGACTATTGAAGCTGGGCAGCGGCAGTTGCATCGGCAGCGGCGGCGGCGGACGCACAACATCGGGCACGGCATCCAGTGGACTGCCATAGGCGGCATCGCCCTCAACGTTATCATACTGATCGTATTGCTGATTGTTCAGATTGTTGTTATCGTAATTGTTCTCCGTCTCGGCCATTAATTGTGCCTCCTGCTCCCGCTGGCGAATGCGTTCGAGCTCCAGCAGCTGCCGCTGATGCTTCTGCAGCTTCAGCTTGATCAGCTCCAGCTGCTGCTCAAACTGCTGCTGCAGTCGGCGACGGGCGTGATCCTCCATGAGCTGCTCATACTGCTGCGGCTCCATGGGCGCCGGCTGTATAGGACGTCGACGCAGACCTGTGCCAAAGATAAACAAAGACGAAAAGAATGCAATTGATTAATTGAACATAGCTCTCTCTTTCTCTCTCTCTCTCTCTCTGGGCGTGGACTGCACTCATTATGCTAATGCCAAAGCTAATGCTAATGATGTCCGTCATGGCCGGCGGACATTGCGTGCCAGTTGCCGTTCAAAAATAAAAGCGACCAAAATAGAAAGCAACAACAAAAAAGGAAACGTGGTAAGAGAAACGGCTGGAGAAACTACTTATAACCCGCCCAAAAAAAAACAAAAGAAAAAAATAACAAATATGCCACCGGAATAGACAAACAGAAGTCAATTTAATTGCCAATGCCTTAAAATAGACCAATTACTACACGCGCCAACATCTACACACACACACGCACACACATAGGCACGCAAAAACACATAGATACAGGCTGTGACGTGCTTGGAAAAACTTTATTACACTTCTGCTGCTGCCCTGAAAAGTAGGCAATAGAAAAAAGTACGTTGAGCAGCGACTGCAACGAACTCGAACTCAGGCGGGGGCAGAGCCGAGGGGGTATATAATGTGGATGGACTGGGTTGGCACTAACTACACCCATACACACACACACAAACACACACACACGCACATACGTGCACAACCAACGTCAATTGCGGGCGCTGCAGGTTTGTAGTTTGTGCAAGTGTGCGTGTGTGTATGTGTGTGTTTGCGTGGGTGTTTTGGTTTGATTCGTGAATATTTGATGCTTGATACACACACACACACCCACTCATACAAACACATGCATATCTAGTACACAGTTATACACAAAACGAAGTGGCAAGCGGCTGCTTTCGCCTTCCAGCGCCATTCACGACGCAAAAGTTGAAATGATATGCACACACACACACACACACACACACACTCACACATGCACATTAGTTCTAAGTGTGGTAAATGTGGGCTGGTTTGTGATATTTTTAGGCATATATACCTGGGTAAACGGACACTTCGCAGTGACCCAATATGCTGCACATCAGGAGTGCAATCAGTGCGCAGGTTATTTCCATTCGCCTGCCCATATTTGTCCGGCTTTCCTTTATTTATTTAATTTGTATCAAAAAAGTTGAACGCTTTAATTGTTGCCTCCTCTTTTTTTTTCTTTTTTGATCAGAATATGCAACTTTCAATTAAACACTTGGCACCTGGCTGGAAATTTGGCTACCATATGGCCGGTTAATATGGACCGTACATTCCGCTGTTGCCCTTTCACACAGACTACAGAGTTTATTGATTTTCACACCAGCACCAATACCAATGCGCGCACACGCACACGGACACACACACGCACGCACGCACACAGCAAGCGGGCAGCTGGTGGTTGTAATTGGCTCGCAAAATTCGCGTGGGCGTGCAATATTTTTTGCAATTTCCGTTAACCAAACAACAATTTTGCCATGCAACTCGTTTGATTTGAATACTTTAAATGATTTCTATATATGCACCGGTTGCCGCAAATGTCAAATGTTGCACTTTTCTATCAGATTGCAGCCAAACACACTGAGTGAAACTTGTGAGGCTGCTGCCTTTGAAAGATGGCCGTCGTTTGAGTTTTGTGTTCTTGAATCGTTGACGTATACCGTTATACTGAATGAGCCTGGCGGCAGCAGCAGCAGCAGCGTCGACAGCAACAGCAGCATTGTTAGCTGTGACGCAAATGTTATGTCCGCCCCCGCGCTGTTAAATGTTGCGGGCAGCTTTTGTGCTGGCCAACAACAAAGCGCAGCGAAGCCAGCTCAGAGCATGCGTCCTTTTATCCACAAAAAGCTCGACACGTCCGCCAGCGAGTCTGTGTGTGTGTGTGTGTGCGCGCGCTGGGATTCTTTGAATAAACATTCATGCATTCATGAAAAAGCCGAAGCCAGATTCGACTTCTGGGCAGCTAGCAGGTGGCCGCTACGTAGTTACTTGCACACACACATACACGCGCGCGCACACGCATGCACACGCGCACGCATACACACTTGATGTTTGACATGTAATCTTGTGCTCTCGCCCCCTTCCCGCCACCACCCAGCAGCTTTTGGTGGGCACGCGCTGAACCATTTTCGTTTGGGATAGGGCACTTTATTTTTATCAATGAATTTTCAACCGGAAAGCTTTCTATTCACAGGAATGTATAACTGTTGCGTACATTTGATTCTGCCCATAATATAGGAAGTTGTCTATGATCCATTCTAGTTTTATCAGGTATTTAAGAGTATTCATTTAAAAAATTGACGAGCTGATACCATGCTATCAAATATCAAATATCGTTTATATTTGGATATTGATAGATAAATAACGACTTCGACGCCTCATTTGTCAATTAGAGTAAATAAAATAAATAAAACATTACTGCATTTGCCTAAATTTAAATAGTTTATGAGTTTATGAAATTAAGAGAGAACACCCCGCTTATTTGCGTCTACCTACAAAAAAAAAGCGTTTGATACCAAAAAAAAGTACTAAAAATGACTGAACCGTAAAAACACTGCTCTTGGTATACTCTTGTTATCGATACTCAGTCGTTGTTGTTTGTGAATCATTTTTTTAGGCAAGCCACAAAGAAAAACTATAAACAAATAAAATGGCAGCAATGAAAGGTAATAATGCGCAATTAATTCGATAAAAGATTAACTTATGCTTGCATCTATTTACATGGTTAACTTGCTGTTAACGTGCTGCTGTCTGATTGCCACCGACAACAACAACAACAACGAAATTACCAACACCTGCAGCGTGAGTTGCCACCCACTATTTTTGCTTTTTTGTACCTATTGATAAGGCTCCCCCCAACATCTTTTCAGTTTGGTTATATGCGCATTTCTAACGTGCCTGGGCATGACATTCCTGATATTGGCCTGCGCCGTGCCCACACCCAAGATCTTCTATCCGTTCTTCGTGCTGCTCTTCTACGTGTTATCAGTGCTGCCCGTCTTCATATCGAAACGGACTACCCCCGGCACCGAAACCAATCCGAAAACAGAATTTGCACTCTTCCTAACGGCCGGCATGGTGCTCAGTGCCTTTGCACTGCCCATTGTTCTGGCCCATTCGGCTGTCGTAAGTTATAATAAAATTGTGCTAATTGTACTGAAAGCTTAATCTTTGATTTATATTTACAGATCGGCTGGACCGCGTGCGCGCTGACGCTGATAGGCAATGTCATTAACTACTCGACCATGTTTGGCTATGCCATGCGTGAAGATGGCTTCGATACGCCATATGGAGGCATGTTTTAAGTAGAAGTTTGTTTAGTTTTAGGCACCCGTCGACGATTTGCGGATGTAGCAATTTGGAAGCATTTGGCTTCATCAAGGACGACAGTCAATCTCACATTAATAAATATATTCACAAAACAATTAATTGAAATAACAAAATACATAATAGTTATTAACCGTAAGCGGACCATCGATCATTTTTCTTAATTCAGTTGAGGATTAAAAAAAAATGTACGCATATGCTAACAGAAAAGAGCACAATATTGTCTGGCAGTGCGGAGCTTGTACTTAACATTTAGTTGCTTGCTTTAAAATACATTAAACTGCACTATTTAGATTTAAATTAGTTAACTCTTAGCCCTTTGCTAATGAAACAACATATCAAACAAAATTGATTTGAAATCCAGTCGAGCTTGTTCTGCAGACTGTTCGTGAGCTGCTGAAACTATCGATATCGATATTTGTTGATATCGATAACTATTGGTTCAGCTGCAGCAGCTCGCTCGTGAGCCAAACAATGTCAATTGTTTTTTAAAAGTTGGTAGAAATGGAAAATCCGACAAAAAATAATTCACCCCACGAGGAGGGCCCTTCGCAGCCCTCTTCGTATAAAGATAATGGGGAAGAGGAAGAAGAGCAGGAATATGATGAGGAGGAGGAATGGGATCTACAAACGGAAAGGAGCACTTCCTTGGGCGGCTTTAGTAAATATGAAGAAGATTTCTTTGAGCCACTCCCACCCGACGTTCGCACTGCAGATGTGCCCATGCACAAATATCCTTTCAAGCTGAAGCACACCGAATCTGGGTAAAATACTAATCGAATTCGTTGTGCGAGAATATCTCCAGTTGTTTTTCACTTAGAAACATTCTCACCGTGCATCATACGATCAAAGATGTGGAGCGTGCTCTTAGGATTCGCATTGCCGCCTGCTGCTTCAATGAGATGAGCAACAAGCTGGTGGTCATTGATAGACGGTAAGATCAGGCGCATATTGTACGCAAAACTTTAATCTCTGTCTTCTCCCACACAGCGGCAACATCTACGTCTTTGACTTTGTCTGCAAACGCTATTGGCGTCTGAGCTTCAGCTTGCCCCAGGCGACACTGGTGCTGGCCTCGCCACTCCAGCGTAGCGAATATATTGTGGGCAACGACCTGGGCCATGTCCTCACGGTCGATGTCGATAAATCCATTTTGCGCCGGCGCAATGCAGTCGGCAATGCGGCGATTGATGAAATCTCCTGGGGCAATCGACTGAAAAGTTCCAGTGCACCCAACACGGTAATGCGCTTCGGCACATCGGCTGTGCTGTTGAATTTGAGAACCCTGCAGGTGTCACATCAACTGGAGTTTGATCAGTCGCGTTTCACGCTCAAGTTTGCTGGCTATTTGCCCAGCTCGGATCAGTTCTTCACCTGCTTCACCAATGACTCCATCCATTTGTGGTCGACTCACACGCTTCAAACTGTGAACATTGCCCAGCCCATTAAGGCACGCGATCGCAAACTGCGCCTGCTGCGCAGTGATAAGACGATACCGGAGATTGTTTTGCGTGGCGCAGACGATGAGGAAACCGACTTGGAGGATGCTCTAGCATTCAATTGCGAGGATCAGCATTTTGCCGATGGCAAGCTGCTCAGCTACAGCTTTTCACCCAACAGTAACAAGCTGTGCCTGAGCACATTGGATGGCTATCTGTTGCTGCTCAGTACGGCATCTCTCGAGATCGACAAGTTGTTTAAACTACGCGATTTCATCTTGAAGCAAATGGTGTTACTGCCGCAGCCCAAGGAGCGCATACTCTTTGCCATCACAGCACGCGGCATGGCTATTATGCTGGACCTGGAGCACACCGATCATAAGCTAATCGTACAGCGCTCCAATGCTGCTAACGTGAGTGTTAGTCGCGATGGCAAGCTGCTTAGTGTGCTGTCCAAGTGTGGTGAGCTGAATGTGTGGTCCACTTGCCGGTTGTTCAATGCTCTGCAGGCACAGACACACTGCATATCAGAGCTACGTGCGACACTGAAGCAGCCGAAGCTGCCTGGCGCTGTGGGCACCGCCATGAACCGTGAACTGCGTCAGCTGCTGAAGCGCGAACGTTTGGTGGCCATGCTGGGCGAGTATGGATATTATCCGGAAAAGTATAGATTTATTATATGGAGCACGCTGCTGGAACTGCCCTCCAATGGCGTCCAGTTCCAGTCACTGCTCAAGCTTGGCCAGCCGTCAATTGTCAAGCAGCGTGCACGCTGCCTACAGATCAGGAGCGACGCCCAAAGGCGGGCCGTAGTTAAGATTTGGAGCTGCTTGGCGCGCTGGTGCAAGGTTTTTGCCTATACGGATTTTATGCCAGATCTGATCTTTCCCTTTGTCAAGCAAATGACCAAGAACGGCTTGGTGGTCTTTGAGCTGCTCGTGACGCTGCTGCTCAACCATTTGCAGCTTTGCTTTGAATTCCATCCGCTGCCGCCCGGCAATTATCTGGCCATGTGCGAGAATGTGCTGCAGGTCCATGATGAGCAGCTGAGCAAGTTCTATCAAGCAATGGATGTGAAGCCAAAAGATTATGCATGGTCGCTGCTAACCAATGGCTTTGCCGAGGTGCTAGAGGAGCAGCAATGGCTGATGCTGTGGGACAATATCATCACGGAGCCACCACATTTCATTATATTCGTTATTGTGGCCTACAATTTGATGCAAAGGGAGATCATTATGCGCCTGCCGGAGAAATCGGCTGTGCTTTGGTTCTTTCACGAACAGAATCCCATTGATGTGGCCAAGTTGGTGTTGCGAGCCCGGAAGCTAATGAGCAAATGTCCAGCCCACGTGCACCCGAAACGCTTTATGCCACCCTTTGCACCTATACCCAAGGGCGTATATCCCAAGTTTCTCAAATATCCCACTGAGTGGATTGAGCAGCAGGAGGAACAAACAATCGAGCTGATCAAGCAACATCAGGAGATTGATGCGCGCATACGTAACTTGGAATTGGAGGAGCTCAAAATGATGGATCGTCTGGAGAACGGTCTCAAGCAGGAGGAGCACACGCGCCGGCTTAAGGAAATGGAGAAGCTCTACCAGGACACCATACAGCGCGAAGGGGAGCGTATTGCCTGCCACCGCAAAATGCTGCTCACGTATCAGCTGGAGGTGCGGCAGCGCAAGAGCGAGATCATGAGCAAGCTTCAGGAGTCGGAGCAGCGTCGCAAGATATTGGAAATGGAAAAGGACATTGACGAGCTGATGCACAGCGTCGAGCGCGAGCGACGTCGCCAAAATCAGGAAATGCTATTCGCCGAGGATGAGATACGCAACCAGGAAATGCAGCTGCTGGAACAGCATTATTGCCTGAATGTACCAGATGCACCTCTTGCTCAAAAATACTACGATAGCATACAAAAAATGCGCCAGGAAAGGGATAAGCTACAGCAACAGCTGCGGCAGGTAAGCGAAATCTTAGCTTAAATAGAAGTATACTAATTAGGTTTTCTGTTGATCCCCGACAGATGAGCATGGAGCAACTGCAGCAGCCAACTACGTCAGAAAGGGCTACTCCAGTGCAGCCACATCTATCAGAAATTGAACGTTCAATTCTGGAAATACAACGCGAATTCACAGATCTCGTAGCCAGCGACAGAAGTAAGTAACAGGGGGCTATATACTTATATTAGTTTGTTTAGCTAAGATAACAAGTCTGATTATTTATGCTCACATTGTGTTTTTTAACCATTGTTTTATACATATTTATGAACATTTTCGTAAACTAGCCAGGCACTTGTTTAGAAAAGGCTTTTTTAGAGGCATAAATTAGTAAAATACAATTAATAATACATCAAAATTGTGCATTATTAACAAATAAACCTAATTTAACTTTTTTAAATTTATATAACATTTATGTCAAATCAATAAGCGTAAACTGTAAAAGTAAGGTTCATAATTAAAATCCGACTGATTATGATTACGAGCTTTTTGTGCTCCAGCTGACGCATAAGTAATATTAATAAAAACAAAAAACTATCTGCCACTAACAATGGCAAACATATTTAAATGTTAACAAATATGTAATAAAATGTTAGCAATGCTAACATTTTATGCATACAATTAAGTGGCACATATCTGAATAGACTCTTTTGTATTAAATCTAAATTTTAAATAGCACATAGCTAGCAAAATATGCGGCTAGCTTGGGGATTCGAACCAGCATCCTACTTGTACATATTTACAGTCTTCTAAACCTAAATTTGATATATATATATATATAAACTTATGCACATATTCTGTTATTTACATCTACGCTAAGGCTAATTACTTTTGATCTAGCATCAGATTTGATGTGGACGAAGGCACTATCATCTTAGGCACATTTATAACCAGGTGTATGCTCGATGGGGGTATTTGTATCTGATTGCCCACGACTGCTAGAGAAGAGAAGAATCAAGTTAAATATTAGGCTGCACTTGCTCCGTGTTGACATTCTCCTACCACCCGCATTGTTGTTGTTTTGCTGTTGGAGTTGCAGCTCTAGGGTCTTGATGCGCTCTCGCAGCTTGCGTATCTCTTGCTGTAGCTGTGCATTGTGATCCTTGATTTCCTTGTGCTCATTGCGCATCTTGTGGCGATAGCGGCTGGCCGCGGCACGGCGTCGTTCCATGCAATCCTCGTTTCGCTTGACCGCTGCCTTTGCCTTGGGCGCTGGCGTTGAAAAGCTGCTGTTGCGCTGCTTTCGGTTATTGTTGCTATTATTGAGTATGGCCTTGAGGCGTTCCTTGATGGGCAACTGTGATGTGGGCGTAAGACTAGCGCTGCTCGGCTCATGTACAGGCTGTGTGCTGTGTACCACAATCCCTGTGGAAGCCTTGCTATTTCCAGGCACGTTGGGCTTGGGCAATATAAAAGGACGCACAGTCTGTTCGGGCAAGGGTTTGCTGACGCTGGCAGGTATTGCGTTTATAGGTAATGCTTGCGCTGGCAGCACCCATGTGATGACTGGCGGCTGTATTAGCTGCAGCGGCGGCGGATTTTCCACCGTTGCGGGCACGGGCCCGGGCACAGTTGCAGGTGTCGTTGCTTGCAGCAGCTCCTCCACATGGGTCACGGGCACATCCAATGGACTGCTGTTCTGGCTAGCCACCGGAGCAGCTGTTGCCGTCTCCAGTGGATATACCTGCGGTGTGTGCAGCGAGTCACCATCCGTAGCTGGTGCTTCTGCACAGGTTGGTGTCGCTGGCAGGGCTTTACCTGCAACGGCATTTTGTTCGGCAGCCCGTTGGAATCCAATATCGAAGGGATTCACATGCTGCAGATCATCGAATAGACCCACTTCCTCACAGTTTTTAATCAGCCGCGTCGGCGTTGGAGTTTGGTCAGTGGCAAACAGCTGCTCAGCCTTCTGGCCCAAGGACAGGTCGAGAGTCATAGCCATATCGTGTTTAGCCTGACACTGGCCATAATTATCAAAATTGGCATTTCCGTCGCCGGTTTTCGTTTCGAATTCAGCAAATGAGACGTCTGAAATGTCCGCAATATTGGCGTCCGTTTCCATTGTAGGACGAATTCATTTAACAACAATTAACGAAAACAATAACAAAAGTTCTGCCAGTGCTGTCACCGCAAAACTATCGAGCCTAGAAGTGTGGAGGTGAGTCGATAGGCGATAAATTGTTTGCGGGCGCAACGAAGCATTTGCGTTTTCCAGCACTGGCAAATCAAACAAAATACGTTACAAGCCAAAAACCGTGTGCTTAAATGCCATTTGTTTTGATATAAAACTTAAAAGTTGCTCAACTATGAAATGTCATTGAAGTATAATATGTGTTATCAATTCCCACATTAATTCCCCATTAATCTTTATGAAAGCGTCCCACAATTTCATTTCAACTCAAATCGTTTGTTTTGACCCAAAAACTTTGACATTCGGCACTTCCGACATATGTCTGCGTATCGCCTGTCTGGCATCTGAGCCGCTCGGCGCGCAATTCGAACCTTTTCACAGCACGTAGACGCAATCATACAAAAAACATGGCGCAACAGAAGAGACGAAAATATTTTTGGCAATAAAGAAAACCCCATAATTTAAAATTTTGTATCTTTTAAATTAGATTTCTCATTGAAGGAAGTTAAAAAAAAAAAGACGAAAACAACAAACAAAAGACACGCAAAATGTTGTCGAGCCGCTGTTTTGGAAACGCAACACGCAACAGGCAATTTTCTAAAACTCTCTGGGACGTATTTATTTCTCACAAAACACCGCCAATAGCAACTAACAACATACTTGTCTTGTGGGTCAAGTTCAGTGTCCAAATCCTCCGCAGCTTCCCATCCCAAAATGGTGGGCCACCATCATCAGCAGCAGCAGCAACCGGCAACAGACGAGGAAGATGCACAAGAGCATGAAAATTAAGAAAAAGTGATGCGTAATTACAGTCATTCTCTTTCACTGCAGCAAACGGGCGATTCCGTAGCATCCCGACGAGGGCAGGCCAGTCCAGGCCAGGCCGATGTCGATGTCGATCTTAAAGCCGGGCTGCGGCTCTGTTGCTGTTGCTGGTGGACCACTCGGTTATGTTGCATGCAAGAGACGCGGTTTTTGGACAGCCATGGCCGCCGCTGCCGGTAGAAACAATCAGTTTGAAGTTCGTTCGCATAATTATGGGCAATTTTCAAAGAACATGCGTTCCGTTGAACATCTCTCGCTCTCTCTCGCCTCCTCTCTTTCTATCATGTGGCTGCTGCTCGCATTCAAAGTATCTTCAGTCGTCGTCGGTCGGCACATCAACGTGCGCGCCATTTCTGTGGCCCATAAGCCATCCATAAGATACATTTTTTCTTTTTTTTTTTTCAGTTTTGCATTTGTTTCGCCAGATTTGAAAATTACAGGTTGCCCTGGCTACAGCGATCGCAAGTGACAAGATGCGCCGCACAGATTCCTGGCTTTGTTGGGCCTTTTCTTTTTTTTTGGCAGCTTACAGCAGGCTGCAACGGCTCCTTGGCAGGACACCGGCTCCAGGTGATTGACTTCTTGGCAGGCTCCTGTGACCGCTCGCATATAATAACTCATAACGGCATTCACAATGTGCAACGTGCAACGTGCAACGTGTTGCCAGGACGAGGGACCCCTTTTTGCATTTTATAAATATTCAAAAGCGAGCCAAAACATAACAAGCTGCATCCTGTGCGTCTTGGCGTTTCCTTTAAGAAATTCCTAGAACGCCTTCCTTGGCTTTTCGACAGTTTGTTTGTTTTGTGTATTTGCCTAGCGGGCATGTTGCATAAATTCGGTTGTTTTAACAGTTGCTCAGCGTTGCAGGGGCAAGCCTGATGGCTGCCACAAAAGCCGAACTCATGACTTTCTTGCGGTTACATTGAACCAAGGCTGCAAACTTGTGCCGAATGCGATTTTATTAATTAACCATGAAACGAAACTTCAATTGCAAAAGTTGTATAAACCGAACCTAAACTTAAACCGAACCGAATTTAATCGTAATCGGAGTTCATCAGGTTCACGAATCGAGTCAAGGCATTTGTGCACCTTTGTGGTTATTTTAATATAACAATTAAAAAGTTATTTATTATATTATATTGATTTGTATTCAATACGCTTTATGCAACTTCCTGCGCCGCCAGCACAGTCAAGGGACTTCCTGCTAAAAACAAAAAAAAAAAAAAACGAAATGGACTGAGAGAAAAAACAAAGATTTGTACTTTTCCGACGGCAGTCAGAGACGGGCCCGTATAAAGATATCTATAATAATTTTGCGTTTGCATTTTGCTTTTGCTTATTTCGCATATATTTTATATGGCGAGACTTTGAGCCCAACTTGGCGCTCAATAATAATTTCATAATTATGGGTTATCTGGCAGTCGCATTCGTAAATAAAAAAGCCAAACGGCAAAAGGCGGCAAAATATAAAACCAAAACAAGCGCAACCAAAACTTTATCACTGCATTTTGTTGTTGTTGTGCTTGTTGTTGTTGTTGTTGTTGTTGTTCTTGTTGAGTTGGTTCTTGCAGCGTGGCCGAGATTGATTGTCGCTAATGGGCGTGATGTGGCTGCGGCTCGAGCAGTTCCAGTGAAATGCCCTGCCAGCTCTACAGCTACAGCTACAGCTAAAGATACAAATACAGCTACAGATACAGATAAAGATACAGCTACAGCTTATAGCAGCAGCTACAGCTACAGCTACAGCTAGAGCCACGTTTGCGGAGAGGTAAAGGTAATTGTTTTAATTGCCGCTCGGCCGAAAGTAGATCAGGCGGCATTAGTCGTAATATCAGGCCAGTTATATAGGAAGTCGCCATCGCCATCGCAATTAATTGTGACCTTGACCAAGCAAAGTAGGGAGCTCTAGTTTTTAGCTGGTATCTTGTATCTGCAGCCTGTCTAACGGTACTGGAGCCCAAAAGAAAAAGGAAATGTTTTATGATTTTAGCTCGTGCGGCGAACGCGCCAAAAGGCCAGTCACGGCCAGTCATCATCATAAAGTCCAACAAAAAATAACAACAACGAAAAAAAACAAAAAAGAGTCGAAAGGATGCCGACGAGCGAAAGAGCCAAAGCTGGACGCTGAAGCTGGAGTTGGAGCTGGAGCTGGTGCTGAGGCTGAACTGTTGGCGGTACTCATCACGCCATGATTCGCCAGATGATGGATTGCGTTCACTTTTGATGTATCTGCCACTTTCTGCTCACAATTTAATGCCACGTCCAATGGGGCGCTGCCTAATTGCTCCACTCTGCCCGGCTCGGGCTGCCGCCGCCGCATGCATCATTTCCATTTCCGTTAAGACCGCCGGCCAGTTGTCGCCGTCGCCCTGGCCTCACGCCCCCTAGCCCCCTCTTTGGTATTAATTCAAAATCAAGCAACAAAATCAAAAGTCAAACTTTCGATTTTTTTTCTTGCCACAAAGTTAATTTTTTTTTACTTTTGCTTGTTTTTTCTCTTCTCTGTTAGACGCCGGCGGCGACAACAACGCGCCGCAAGTTTGAGCATATCCTGTGCTTGCGGCGCATCCTTGGCCCTTTGCTCTGGCCACATAATTGGCGTCTGGAGGCGTGGCACCTTGTCGGCCCCGCAAAAGCCAAAGGCTTGTGTCTAACATGCGCCATGGCCTTAGATATGCGGTCCCTCTGTCAGGGGGCGTGAGTTGCCTAAAAAGTCAGAACAGCTTCGCCAAAAGGGACATGCGCTCTGGCGACGGTGGGCCTCACCTAGTACACATAACGGTATTAAATATGTGTGCGTGTTTAATTGCATGTTTCCAGATATCGTTGTTAAGGGATTTTTCAAAGGAATTCGCCAGCAAAAGGCATGCTAAATGCGTCATGCAATACCCAAAGACTCCTTTTGTGCATATAACCAGAAATGTTATCATTAGCAACAAAAACATGCAAACTATTTGATATACGTAGTGCTTCCAGGTCTAAAACATGTCCCAAACCATTTGCTATGGGCCAAGAAGTTGTAAGAAAGCAAAACTTAATTGCATTTAAGCCGTCTGCCGCTAATGAATTTGCTGGAACTGAGCCAGCGAACTTTAAGAACAACGTTCTTTTTGAGCCGTCAAATCATTAACCCAAAACTTAAGAATCTGTCAAAATTCATCAATGAAACGTGCTGAGAGACAGAGAGGGAGAGAGAGTGAGAGAGAGGGGGGGGGGGGGTGGAGTGGGAACATTGGCTGTCGTTAAAATTTGACCCCCAGCGCCGACAATGTCCAGTTAGAAGCACTTAATTAATTATACAAAGGTCGTCACCGTCGGGGACAACACATACAAAACATCTGTCGGCACATCGATCGCAGATAAAGGTTTTGCAACTTTATTTCCAAGTGAAATCCAAGAACTAATATCATGTTTGAAAAGGGAAGAATATCTTATAGATCTGTGAGCTCGATCGATGAGTTGTCTAAAGATATTTCCTCATTCAGACAACTGAAAAACGGGCAACCTGGTTCGAATCTCCGAGTAGTGTTTGGAAGGCTGAATGCCTTAGTTGCAAATGGTATTTATAAAATTTGAGTTTTCTTTTTTAGCTATAGCCCTCACTCTGCAATATTTGCTAGCCTTGGAAAACAAGACAACTATCATACTAAAAAGTACAAATATTTTTAATCTGATCAGCAAAAGTTTGCAGAGCAACTATAAAGTCATAGAACTACAGAGATCTTAGTTGATAGATTGAACAAATATTAATCGATAAGCAAATAACTTACAAGTTATATTCGTTTAGTTCGAATCTCCATTCATAACATTGGTCAGCCTATGATCAAGTGATATTCCATTCAAGAGAATCCATTCATAAAATCATTTGGTTAAGCTACAATATTCCACTGAATGGAATATTTTGTGGTTCAGCTTAAAATAATTAAGCTGTTGCAAATAGGGATCTATTACCTAGCTTCCATTCACAGATTATGTTTTAACTCTATCAAGAATATCGCATTCATGGTACACAGACAATTGACCCGCGGCCATCTTCAACGGTTGACTCCGTCGGTTTCTTCTGTCGTGTTCATTTCTTCTGCATGTTTTTATTTTCATTTATTTTTATATGTATTTTTTCTTTGCTACCATTGACAAATGGATCGGCAAGCTGGCTGGCAAGAGCGCAGAGACGGCAGCAAAAACTCATCAATTAAAAGTGCTAATGGCTATAATAATGATATGTTAATATCACTCGTAGCTATAACTATGCTGCTGCTTTTGTTTTTGCGCTCGGGCTAACTGCGTTTTCGTTTCAGTT